GAGAGCAGATTTTCACCAGAAATAGAGAGCAAGAAATTAGTTTTTAAAAACTCCAAAATCCCAAAGCTGAAGTATCATTTTTTCTGGAAGAACTGATTTGAGGGAGAGGAAAATGATTTGGTACATTCCCTTTTTGTAAATTAAAATGTAGCAATCAGTGCAGAAGAAGAGATTAATGAAACATAACGGCCAAGAGAGCTCGGAAGACACAGGATATTACTATAAGCTTGTCTTTGGGAACTGTATAGGGAATATATGACCTCAGAGAGAAGCAGAATAACTATATGTGAATGCAATTGGGATAATATTCAGAACGCAGTCATAAAGAGGAGACATTGTCTATTAAATCCTCATTTGTGTTGGAAATCAAGAACTGAAAAAGCCTGAAAACCTGAAACAATTATAATTTATTTGGATTATAAAGTGTTGGTGTCATTTCACGGAACTACTCCATTTCAGAAGAATTAATTTACTGAGTAGAGACGTGGCGTGGCATTGGAAATTACGAACAGTGTGATGGAAGTATGTGGAAGACGGACCGTAAAGAAAGCTTGTTGAGAAGGAACGAGTACAAGGAAGTGCTGTAATACGCACATTGACAGGAAAAGCGCAGAGGAGTAAAAGCAGACAGGGAATGAAAACTGGAAGTCTAACAGAAGTCCAGATAACTTGGACAAACTACTGCATGAACAAAGAAAAATCCATGCCAAAAGTAGAAACCAAGGCGATAATGCCAAAGTCGAAAAGCAGTGATGTTGTTACAGGAGACAAAACCCAACAGGTATGATGGTGAAAACTTCAAAGAAACTGTTGCTGATATTGATACTATCTCCTCCTTTAATAACACGGAAACCCTGAGTGCATATGCAGTCAACCTACGTATACTTCTATATGGATGATATGTATATATATCAGCCGCAGAGAGCAGCAGGAAGCAGAGCTTGGGTCTGTCTGCAATCAGACACTCAGAGGTACTGAAAGAGGGACAGAATCTGCCTAAAATCACACGTATCCTACAGAGCAGTGGAACGAGGTAGCAGGTAGCATTTGGAAGAGTTGTATCAAGTTTTACTGCAGCGACGACAGGGTGGGAGACTACTGAAAAAACGTCATGACGCAGTTATTTAGAGAAATTCGAGAAACCAGTGAGGGAGATCCAGCCCCCCTGAAACCAATAATCCCCAAAGTTTGCCTGCAGCTTTTGTCATCTAGGCTAAAGAACCTGAACCCTCGTCAACACAGGGAATGAAATAGTCTCCTTAATGGCAGATGAGCAGTTTAAGACTGTTTGCACAAGCGTTAAGCGCACGGTTCCTCTGAGACAGTTGTTAAATCTGAAGGACAAAAGCCAACAGCAAAATTCAGAGGAAATTCTGATCAGGGAAGGCCATATTTTAGAGAAAGCCATATTGTGGCATCGTTTAGCAATACCACAAGCGACTTACCGCAGCCCAGCAGGGTAACTGCTACCTAGCTGCACGCTCGGGACGCGCACAAGAAGCGTGCCTTACTTTGAGGGGAAACACGGCAGGAACAGAAACAGCTATGGACAAGTAGGATAAAACCATGAGGAAGAAGTGACGGGGAACCACAGACAGTGGAGAGGGATGAAGAACATCATAGTATACTCGATACACAAGCCCTGTGCCATTTCACTCCCACGGCCTGTCTAACTCAACAGGTAACTTTAAGTACTCCATGGCTGGTAACCACTGAATTTGGCCCATGGGCTTTCAAAGAAATTGGTAAAAACGCAGATGTGATATACTCTTACGTGTTTAACACAAACGTTTGGAGCTGGGAAAGCCCTGCGATAGAAACCACTAGCAATATCCCTTCCCTTTGTCTTCTCTTTTTAAGCAGTCCGCAATGGTAGCTTCTGGCTTGAGCAAACTCTGAAACAGTATTTTTGTCAGTTTACAGAACTTTTATAAAGTCTTACTCCCCATCAGTGATTTAATTTACCTATTTATCATGAAGCAAGAGCTATGCTGGCAAGCCTGATTTACTGGGTAGAGAGAGGAAAAATGAAGACCAGACCCAAAGAGAGACGTACAACTAACTGCTTTTCTCTTTGGCAGAACAGCAAGCAGAGGATTTTAGAATGCAATAAGAACACATTTAAACATATAACATACATATAAAATATATATAGTAGAGAAGAAAAAAAAATCTTATTGCTGAACCTACATGTGCTGCAAGCATAAAGCTGGATTTTCCTGACTCTCTGGTTTACAATTACATGTTGGTACGAGGAACACAATTTCCCCTTAGAATATGTAGGCGACACTAAAAGAGCAAGAAGCCTGTACTGAAATGTGTGTTCAGTACCCATTTGAGTTTGAGTGACACTACATTACTCCTGCTCGTACCACTGGCAGGTATATGAATTTTAATGACATTTCAAAGTCAGTTTAATAATATTATAGCAATATTACAACTCAAAACCCGTAAAGGCAAGTGGTATGTCAAAGGACTGCCATTTAAAATCAAAAGGTTATTGCTCCCACCTCCCATGTGCTTTCTTTAAAATAGTCTTTTGAACACATTTAATAAAAAATAAAGTTCTTAAGTATGTCTAATGTTCTTCTCCCTAGATATTATGTCCCTACACCTACACAAAATCTACACTGGAGAGATTGTAACCAACCATCGTGAAATTCTGAAGATTATAGGCAACGGCAAATCCATAAATAATGGGCCGATATGAGCGACTGGTTCACATAAATGTCATTTCCTTGCAATCACACATACCTTTTTCTTTTAATTGTTGGAAATTAAGTGATACAACCCTGATTTGGAAAACTTATCTATGACCAGGCTTTTGATATGTGCACCTGATGCACAACAATTACCTACAATGACGGTTTGAAGTGTGAATAAAAGTGATACCCAAAAAGGTCTTCTCTGGCTTCTAGGTTGCCATAGGAATAAGATACGAGGTTTCTTAACTCACCTCCAGATGCCTTTGACCTTTCTTTCAACTTTTCTGCAGCCATTTCAGTGTAGCTAGGAAGTTCTGACATCTTCACTCCAGATCGAGCTTCTGCTATTAGCTGACGAGCTCGCTCTCTCAGCTGCCGACGCCGCTCTTCATCTTGCTGCTAAGATATATTGAACAGTTGCCAACTCAGTAATTGACAGAAATGCAATTTCATTCTCAATCTGATCATCATGATAGTAACTGGTTTACAGCATGGTGCTTGGCCCACATTATAAATAGGATGCTCCGTATCAGTTGGGTGTCACACCACAATTTTTAAAGACATCCGTGGATCAGATTTTTTTTTTTGAAGCGTTCCCCAAATTATTATTGCATTAGAAAATTATTTGCGATTTAAAGCGTCTCTAAATTACGTTCTATAAAAACAGGCTGATTAAAACGATTCTCAGAAACTTCTGTTTGAAAGTAGCAGCTACCAAAAGTTTTCCTGTGGCTATAAAAACGGCTTTAGTAAATTGAATTAGCAGTTTGAGGAACGTTCTATCATCGCTGAAGTGAGAAGCCAGACGCTGCTCTTGGTTCCCCCATTAACCAAGCCGACTTCAAAGCGTAAAACGACATCGAAAGTGACGTATAGAGAGGACTCTAACCCTTGGACTTCAATGGATAAATCTTCTTAAACAAAAAAGAAACTAAAGAAAATTAATGAAAGAACAATAGATACTGGAGCAAGAAAGACTTCTCCTCACTCACTATAAAATGCACTGTTACTGTGCGTTTGGTCACTAATTAAAAAGATCATATGATTTACTCTGGGAATCATCCCAGATAGCACTGGTCTACTAAAACCTGTAACTACGTTAGGATATTAATATTGCAGTTATATACACGAAAAAAATTTTATTGCTTCAAATTGTGGACAAGACTAACACGCCTCAACTGAAAACCTGGATAGAGAGATGCGTTCTGTGAAAATACATTAAACCGCAGTGGAAACACCAACTCAGTTTTAGTCGCAAAATCCTGAATTTTTCAAAGTTAGGGGAAAGTTTAGGTTGTCTCCCCCCCCCCCCCCCGCCCTCCAACATTACAATTACTCACAAACGCAACAGAGGCAGCATTTGGCTTTAAGTCCAACTTATCCGTATCGTCTAGTTTGGGATAACGACATATGGGATAGGACCGAGCTATTGGCCGCTGACCCTAACCAAGGGGAGCGTAGCGAGACGTCTAGTTTGGGATAACGACATATGGGATAGGACCGAGCTATTGGCCGCTGACCCTAACCAAGGGGAGCGTAGCGAGACGTCTAGTTTGGGAAGGCCGCGCTGGCCCCTCGCCCACCCCGCGGGGCCGCGAGCGCTGCACACCTGCAGACGCCGGGAAGGAAGAGCTGCTACCAAGCGCTATTTTGTTTCAGCAGTCGTTAAGAAAACAAGCACCAAATACTAATTAGGTACGTTTTCCCCATTTCCATGTAAATTGTTTGTTTGTAGCTATTTACTCATCATTGTTCTCGGCACAATAGCAAAAATGCAAATGCGCGCTATGCGAATGCAGCCCTAATGGGACTCTCTGTTTATAACCATTAGCCCAGAGGTGCGCTGTAATTCACTCCTCCAGCAGCAAGATTTAGCCTCATTAACAGCTTGCACGGGCAGGTTACAACTCATAAAACCCTACGGTAAACAAAGTGTATGGACCCAGCGGAGAACCTGGCGCGTGAGTGACAGGACGGCGACGGCCCCGTCTGACGGCCACGAG